TATTGCAGGATATGGGAAAATGCCAGGGAATTAACATACATTAACAGACATTCTCTTGAACCTTGTGCAGAGTCGATGCAAGAAAAGATAATACTAGTAACTCTCTGAAAACCTTCAGGAATCAGGATGTTAATAGATGGCATACTGTTCGAACTCCAAACGGTCTCAACAATCATCTGCAAGTTGATGATGTCTCGGTGCTTGTTTCGTTACCTTGTATAAAGCACCATGTAATTCCTGCTAGCGGCTGGAGGAGGGTGCATTTCAAAGCACAAAAGATCCCAACCTCCAAATTCTGTAATAACATCAGGCTGGTAGGATTGTCCCTCTAAATAGTTTATGATGTAAACAGCTCTATGGAAATCAACTTGCGGTGCTCCATTTTTTTGTTCTTACTCTGTAATTACCCTTTTGCTGTTACAGGTAACACGGTGACAGAAGAGCATTTGGTGCAATCGACCAACATCTATCGATAATAGAGTGCAGAATGAAGGCGCACTGAATTTTTATTTTCAGCGATAAAATTCGATCTATAAAAAAATAGTAATTTCTTACAGAAATTGGAACTAAAATAAACATAGGCAAATCCACCTCGAAATTTGAGAAAGGTAAAAAACATACATATTTATCAGAGTGCATTCAGTTTCAGTTTCAATTTCATGTCATTTAAACATTAAGCCAATAAGTAAGCACAAAAACCCAGAGAACCAAACAAAAAACCTCAAACGAATACGACACGACCGACATAATGATAAACAAGAAACTACCCACTTGAAACAGGTGCCTGTAGAGAAGAGCCAGCGAGACCAACCTCATTAACACCAGCAACAACATCGTCACCATCATCAGCATCACCGCTCGAAACCTGGGTCCAATTAGGAGGGAGTGGAGGCAAAGGAGCGTAAACGGTGGTTTTCCTCCTTATGTACCATCGCTGCGTCTTGCGTGGCCTTGTCTTCATGTGATGCTTCGTTGCCTTCTTCTGTGGCCTCGACGAACATTCTACCACTAACCCACCATTAGATTTTGTTTTAATGAAGGTACAGAGGGGATGGAGTTGGGAAGAAAGGTGATTTTGGGAGCTGAAGTAATGGAAATTATTGGCATTTTTTCTTTCGTCTTGGGTTTGCTCCCTCTTTGTCTGGTCCTTTTTTTCTTTGCTTTGGGTTAAAAGAATACGGAGGGTGAGACTGTGCGAGTCAGTGAAATGGGTATCTCCGCACCTTTGCATTTGGATTACGTGCCTTATCCTTTATTCCTACCCACTTTTGCGTTTACCTTTGTACTACAATTCACTCACGTGAGTCAATTTCAAATACTTTGGGCCTCAAAGCTTGGTTTTCAGCATTCTTTTTTTTGGATATTGGGCCATTTGGGTCAAACCTATTAACTATTTGCCTCTATTTTTTCAGAAAGGCAAGTCCTTCTATAAAATGCTTTGTTGAGGTCAAATTTCATGAAATAATAAAAAATAAAAAGATAATCTAAAATAATTTCTTAAACTATTTTTCAAATTAATAATTGTACCTATTTTTTATATTTAAAAATTATGGTTTAGTTATTTTTACTTTTCTCTCTTTTATATTTTTAGATAGGTAATAACTTTTCTATATTTATTAAATAGTAAAATTATTTATAATTTTTTGGTACAAAAGAAGTTTTAATTTAAAAATAAAAAAGAAGATTATAAATATTAAATTTTGAACCTCAAATATACTGAATTTTATTTTTTAAATGCAATTACATAAACTTACTAAATTAAACTTCATATTCAATTATTTTTTATTTTACTCGCGTAATGAAAACGTCAAAAAAACTAATTTATGAAAATGTTGTTTTATCAAATTAAATCCAGTTTTTCCAATATCACAAATCATCTTTTACGTACTCACTAGCCAAATTTATTAAACAAATTTTTTTTAAGGAAAATTTTAACTTTAAACTATGAAATTTTAATAACGAAATGATACAACGTCACTTCTTTAAAACTCTACTATTATTAAGTTTGAGAAATTAAAACTAGATGACGAACTCGGGAAGCAAGAATTCTTAATGTCAGCTAACTGATATTTAGAGAGAGCTATGTGCCAGTTTCAATGGTGAATATATTGTAGATGGATCCACTGTCTTCAATGAGATTATTGTTTGATTAATTTTTTTCATGTTCTTCCTCGACATCCAACAACTAATTAATACTATATTTGATATAATATTCCTTTTTTTTTTCAATTTTTTGTGATTGCACATTAGTGGCATCTTTGTTGAGAAACTGATTTCAAAATTAGACATAAGTACTTAATTTATTTTTTTGCCATCCATAAATACTTTAAAATGGAGATAAAATGGGCAATTGGATTTTCTTTTTATTTTAAAGTTAAGATAAGAAAGATTGTTACATTCTAATATCATGGCAAGATTCAACAAGAATTTACATAGAACTTACACACTGTTCACCAAAAATATATTTGTAACTAAAATTAAACTTGTGTGTTCGGAGCTATCCGAAGAGGGCAAAACTTTCAAAAAGCAAATGAGAAAAAATAAAGCAATTGGCAATAAAAGTTGAAGTGATCTCAACGTTTATATTTCAACACACAAGTTCGATATCAATATAAAGGTGGGAAGGAAAAAGAAAAAGAATAAAGACTTAAAACTTTTAAAATTCAAGATGGATCATAAATATTTAGATAAGATTATTTATACATGTGTGATAGAGATTTTTGAGCTTAAGTTGTCTGAGGTCAATATTAGAGAACTAAGATTGATCTTGTAGGTCCAAACTGATCTGGCAATTAACTGCCTATTCAAGATATGACAAGTCAACAATTTGAGGTATTAACTTGTAGGTTGCTAAGTTGGTTAAATTGACATGGATTCAAGATTTTAGATTAACTTAATATGTCAAGTTGATCAAAATGATCAAAATACCTTCACTTATCAATAGATTTACATTAAAAAATTAAAACTCTATGTTGCTTTTTGTATGCTAATATATCCCTAAAAATATTTAAATCTTATAACCATAATATTTATAGCTTTGGTGTTTGTTAGGCGATAATTATAAATGGATTTCCAAACTAGTTAATAGTATTTGCATTTAATTGTAATTACAAAAGTGTAGTGAAAAAATATTATCTTTGGTAGTAAACCTACCAATAGGCTAAGCGACTCACTCGAACTCAAAAGTCTCTCTGAAATTTTAAAGATTTTAAACATAAATTTTAAGTCTGTTAAAAAGGTATGGACAAATAAATGACACTTGATCAAAAAATAAGATGGCGTTTTGGTTTCATAATTTAAAGCTTAGGCTCAACTTGATAATAAAAAAAATAATTTTTTATAATGGAATAAAGTTCATTTGTTTTATTTTTTATAATGGATAAAATCCATTTGCTTTATTACTTATAATAAGATAAAATTTAATTTTTTATACAAAATATTAAAATAATGATTCAATTTTAAATTGTTTTCAACAAAATTAAATTTGATTTAAGCCCAAATTTATCATAAATTCAATTAAAATTAATTAAATTAATAATTTAAAAAATTAAAAAATATTTATTTTTATTTTTAAATACTAATACTTTGTATAGTTTTATATTTTATTATTACAAATTAAAATGACTTTGAATGAAAAATGAGATCAAACAATTAAGTCGAATTAAACCTGAATTTACTTAAAATATTAAAATATCATATTAAATCCAAATCGAATGCGATTTGATTTAACACACGAGTAGTTCTATTTAGTAATACATTAGGACCATATTTATGAATCAAGCAACATGTAAAAAATTAGGAGACAAAAAGTTTGTTTTAGTTTTCTTTATAGTTCATGACAAGCTAACTACTATAATTTTACATCTTAAATCTTGAATCAAAATGTTTGCTAACTACTTAAAAATTAAAGATAATTTATTTTTATAATCGAATTTTTATTCAATAATTAATATTTTTTAAATTACATATTTTAAAAAAATAGAGGGTTAAAAATTAATACTCCTTATACTATTAAAATAATTACTACTACTAAAAAAAAGAAGATGACATCAGTACGACGTGGGTAAGGTCAAACCGTTTCTCGCTAAAAGGACCATACCCAATGACCCACGTGTCTACACCATGCAAATCCTCTCTGTAAAATCAGCAATCAGATTTGATCCTAACCACTTGATAAATGAAACTCCACACCCCCTTCCCCTTATTCCACTTCAGACGTACTCAATTCACCCTATCGAAATCTCGGACCCATCAAATAAAAAAACAAAAAAAAAAAAAACTGTCAATAGCACAGCCCTCGTGTGGTACCAAAGATTCACTGTATATAATATAATATAACAAACAAAAAATACAGAATTTGTAATCCTTAATCCATAAGTATTTTTAAAACGGTCATTTCATTATTAATTTTTTAATTTAATTATTTAAATTTGAGTAAATATTATTTTAATTATTCAGTAATTTTTAATGATAGGTAAAGTGACATTATCATATTAATATTAGATTTTATGTGATATTATTATATTATTTAATATATATGTGACATTATGCTATAAAAATAATGATTAGCGTTACACGATATTTAATAATTAATAGTATTGCGTTAATATATTATTAAAATTAATGATTAAATGATAAAAAATATTTACTTAAATTTAAATAATTAAATTTACACATTTAATAATCAAGTAATATTTTTAAAACATAATTATAATTGAGGGAGTCATGATATATTTTACCATAATAATATCAAAAACCAATTTTCCACAATTTAGTTGACAGAAAATACGAAGGGTATTTTAGTCATATGATAAATAAAAAAATGTGGAGCCTACAATTTAGTTGGTCAGGTGAGAAGAAAGAGAAAAAGAGAAAGAGAGAGAGCGAGAGAGGGAGAGGGGCCTCACCTCAGCTCAGATAGCGTCAGCTTCTCCAATGGCCATTAACGCCAGCCTGTACCCAGCTGTCCCCCATCCCCCCTTCTACCCCTGTTTTTCTCAATTGAATCTCAAATCTCAAACATTTTTCTCATTAATCCCCTCCCAAATCCCAAACTCTTATATAAATACCCACAAATTGTGTTTTTAGATAAAGTTCAATAAACTCAGGAGAAAAAAAATATGAAGACAGTTTTTACTTCCTACCATTTCCAGTTTTCCAAATCGCATTACCTTCGTGTTTTCCCATGTAACCTCCATTCACAATCTCAATATTTTTTTTGTTAAAATCGTTCTCTTTTTTATTTATTGCTACATAAGCAAGACTATAAGTTTTTGAAGAGAAACCGCAAAAAAATGGACCCTTGCCCTTTCGTACGACTTACCGTTGGCAATCTGGCGTTGAAAATTCCGGTTGCGTCTAAACCGGCGCGGTCCGTTGTTCACCCTTCTTCGTCGCCGTGTTTTTGTAAGATTAAGCTTAAGAATTTCCCTTTCCAAACCGCTGTCGTTCCCTACATTCCGCCGCAGAATCAGTTTGCTGACAACCAGCTACAAACCCTCGCCGCTACTTTCCACCTCAGCAAAGCCGATATCGATAAACTCGCAGCGAAATCGATCTTTTCCGCCAAGCCTTGCCTCAAGATCGCTATCTACACTGGCCGGAGAGGCACCACTTGTGGGGTTAACTCGGGGCGTCTGTTAGGGAAAGTGTCGGTGCCGCTGGATATAGCGGGAACTGAATCTAGGCCCTGCGTTTTCCACAATGGCTGGATTTTGGTTGGTAAAGAAGCTAATAAAGGTTCCTCTGCTCAGTTTCACTTGAATGTTAAAGCGGAACCCGACCCTAGATTCGTTTTTGAGTTTGACGGCGAACCCGAGTGTAGTCCTCAAGTGTTTCAGATCCAAGGAAATATCCGGCAACCCGTCTTCACTTGCAAGTTCAGTTTTAGAAATACTGGTGACCGGAATCAAAGATCCAGGTTGGTTTTTATCCTTTTTAATTAATTTTTTTTCAGGCTTTTTGTAAAGTTTGCTACGAAATTTGAATGCAAAACATTACGGAAAGCAAAATTAAAGAAAAAGTTACCCAGATTATGACTTCAATTGAAAAATAATAAAAAAATGAGTTCTTGAAAAAAAAAATTTTCTTTGAACTTTTTACTGTTTAGTTAGTTTGGAGTGTTTGTTCTTTGCTTGTAGAGTGATTTTGTTTGTTAAAAATCGGACAGGTCGTTACAGTCAGAGCCAAGTAGCTCTCGGAGTTGGTTAAGCTCGTTTGGCAGCGACAGGGAAAGGCTAGGGAAGGAACGAAAAGGATGGTCAATAACGGTCCACGACTTATCCGGCTCACCTGTAGCCGCCGCTTCAATGGTTACCCCCTTTGTGGCCTCACCAGGTTCGGACCGAGTCAGTCGTTCTAATCCCGGCTCATGGCTAATTCTCCGTCCGGGAGATGGCACCTGGAAACCCTGGGGCCGTCTCGAGGCTTGGCGGGAACGTGGCTCTTCTGATGGACTTGGTTACCGTTTTGAACTAATTCCTGATATGAGCACCGCGGCTATTGTTCTAGCCGAGTCGACACTGAGTTCGGGTAAGGGAGGGAAGTTTGTTATTGACCTGGGGGGCGGCAGCGGCAATGGTGGTTCCAACGGGCGAGCGATGATGGGGAGTTCGACGTCTCCGGCGTGTAGTCCGAGGAGCAGCGGTGATTTCGGGTACGGATTATGGCCGTTTTGCGTCTATAGAGGGTTCGTAATGTCGGCTCGCGTGGAAGGGGAAGGCAAGTGTAGCAAGCCTTGCGTGGAGATGAGTGTGCAGCACGTGAACTGTACGGAGGATGCAGCTGCTTTCGTGGCTTTAGCTGCTGCAGTTGATTTGAGCATGGATGCTTGCATTCTTTTCTCTCGGAGGTTAAGAAAAGAGCTCTGTAATCACCAGGATTTACTCGGCTGATTCCAATTTTCGTTACCCCCCACTCTCGTCGTTTTGTCGTTTTTTCCTGGTTAGTTTTTCCTGAGTGGATGCGTTTTAGGATCCATCGTGGAAAGTGGGAGGTTTTTTAATTTTTACTTTTTTTTTTTACCACTAACAGCCAATCTAAACCTCTGTACAGTGAAGTGAAAGAAAGGGAAGGGGAGGTAGATTGTTAGATTAGACAGGCACGCTTTGTTTTTACTCGTGTGGCTTGTGTAAATCTTTAAAGATAGTAGTCAAGACAGACTCAAGTTAACAGATTAAATTAAAATAGTCGATGATGACTCGTAACAAACCCAATGCTGTGCTGCAAATTCTGATATCCGCCTAGACTATTCTCTTTAAATTAAGATTAATGGTGAAAGTTGAAATTGATGTGATAAACATATCGGAAAGGAATGAACGAGGTGGGGGTGGTTAGGCAAAGGATATGTGCGTGCACGTTACTACTTCTCACTGGATTTTTATTTGAAGAAATGTTTTATGGATGATAGCTGTTTAATCCGCTTTCATTTGGTAGGCAGAAAGAGAGCCAGCCACGCCTGTTTAAGCGTGTAAGTGGGGAAGAATTAGAGCATACTTTTGCATAAATCATGGTTTTGTAATGAAATAATCTCTCTTTTAGCCCCATTAATTATTGAAGGGAAGATTAGCTTACTTCCAATAGTTTTGGCTACAAAAATTCCAATGTACCAACCAATGGGTTCATATTGTTATTTTGAAAAAAAGTGCTGGTTGACCTGGATTTGGTTCAATTGAATTTCTGTTGTATAGCCAATTTGGTTTTTGAAGGACATGGGACCATTCCATGACCTTAACTTTAAAAGGAGAGGGAGGGACGTGAAAAGGGTCAGAGAAGCATGTGGTGCTTTACTGGTGGTACTTCTTCTACTCTGCACGACTCTGAAAGCAAAATAACTTAAATTTTTACAGTCGTAAAACAAAGTACCAAAAGCTAAAAAATATGTTTCACTGACAGAGGCCTGAGAGCTTTTGTTGGATTGGCAGTTTTTGAGGGTGAAGATTGCTCCGTCGGGACACGAGACTCGAGAATTAGGACATAAGAATCACGTCACGTCTTTGATCGAGTGCTGTGAACGTGTTTTTTTGTGTGGAGAGGTCGGAGGGTGGTGGGGTTTGTACCTCTCTTCACATAAATAAAACTGTCACAGCTTTTATTGGGAAGTGAAGTGCCATGGTCGCACGCTGTGCTTGATCCTGTCATAATTGACCTGAACAATAAATGAAGTGGTATGTCTTGATGCTACATAACTGACTTGAGCAGTGGATGAAGTTTTGTAATTGAGACAGTGATCTTAGCAGTGGGCGGGATGTGTAAGTCTGAAACATAGTGTCGATTGAGTTTGCGAGCAATGTCTGGCCCGGTCTCAAGCTGGGCGGACAAGGATAAATATACTGTGTGGGCATTCCGGAGCTTGGTAATCAGTTTGGTATTGCCGGTGAAAATCGTGTGTTTACACTCTTGAATGGATCGGTGAAGTAACGAGTAAAATCTAAAAATTTTGGTAGCCTAAAGGTAAGTCATTGGTTCTTAAGTTGGTTGAAGATAGTTTTAACATAACTAAGAAAAAATATCTTTATTTCAAACATGCTTACGATTTTTATAGCATAGATGAAAATTTTTTTATATTTTTTATAGAGAGACAACTGATGTTAGCTCTTTATCACTCTCTTAACTAACAAGTGGGTAGAGGTTTGTTAGTCTAAAGTGAGTTAATTGTAGGTACATAGTATTTAGATAGGTAAATTCATCAGGCCACAAATGTGACACGATGTCTTCTCAAGTTATAGTAAACTCGATAATGGTTAGGTCGACGGGCCTTGTATTGTGCTTTTGTATTGAACTATGGGGTTAGACAGTAACGTTGGCTATGCCCCTTAATTTCCTTATTTGAGTTGGATCGATGAGTAACCGAGGATTATGAAAAGGTATTTACATAGGAAAGACACCACTGAACCTAAGAGATGAGTAGGCGGGTAAGCTGCTAAACCCGTGTAATCATTTGGTAGAGGTGTGCTGTGGTTGGGGTAGCACACCTAAGTTTCTCGAGGTGGGATGGGCATGAAGTTGAATATTCATTATGCGTGCGAGCAACCTAAAGTGAGGTTAAGGGTCAAGGTCTTAAAATATGAGTTTCATGGGACGAGATGAGCCTAGTGTGGCTCCGGATTGGCAGTTAACCATTTGTGTTGTACTTTCAGATTCATGGTATGAAAGCTTACGTATGGTGCATGCAAGCATGGTGTTTGGTTCTCTCTATACTAGAATGAGATATCATTATGAGAACTAGGGCTACATGCCCCTATGTGAATTCGAAAAGGGTTACTGCTTGGGACTTTGTGCTTGTGGGCATGGACGGGTGCTCGAGGCCATCTTGAAATTTGTGGGCAAATGATATAATAGGAGTTGGGTTTTTTCCTATTAAGTTTGGGAATATTGCATATAACCTTACGGGATCTGAGCTAGAAAGAGCTCATGAGTATGTAGCTTAAAGGATTGATAATGAGTTATCCATCAAGAAATGGACTCAAGAAAGATTGACCTTGACTATGAGTAGTCTTGGTGTCAAACAGACTCCTGATTTTGATCTAAGGAACATGCGACCTGACAATTGGTATCGAAGCTTAGTTTGGCTAAGCTATAAGACTAAAATGGCCTCTGGTGTGGGCATGATATTGATAAATTAAGACAGTGCTAAAGCTCAAAAAGAGCTATCAAGGCACGAATGTGGTTCTGTGGCTATATGGGCTCGACAAGAAGCTATCGACGTAATTTATGGGAAACTTGACCGAGGTGCAAGGCTTTCGAGTAATCTCTTAGATAGGGGTAAGCAACCGATCGATTTGGTTGGTTCGGTTTGAAAAAATCAATAATTGACTTAACCGATTTTCATTTAACAAATCACTGAATTGACTGAATATTTTTAAATAACTGACCATAATCAAACCGACCCAAATAAGTTTGGTTCGGTTAAGTAATAGACTTTTTTATCATTTTTTTCTTATTATGAATAATTATTTAATCATAAATTCAATTCAATAAAACTCAAACTCAAGAATCATTCAAACTAAATGACTAAAGAATTTAATAATTTCAATCATATTTTACAAGAAAAAAATAAATAAATATATATATCAATTGTTTTACCTTTACTTATTAAAAAGTTGGTTAATTCGATCAATTCAATTATCTATTTTAAAAATAAAAAATAGATCGAGTTAACCAATTTAACCAATTTAAAAAATTGATTATAACCAATATCGAATAAATCGAACCGATTCAACCGAATTCACTTGATTTTGATCGGTTTAATCGGTTCAAACCGACTTTTGTTTATCTATACTTTTGGATACCAAATGAAAAGGTAAGGGACTCTAGCCTCACCTAGCGAAAGGTGTTGGCTCTTGTGGGCATGCAATGCCCTTCAAATGTGATAAATTGTGTTAAGACCTAAATGCGAAAGGGGTTACATCATGAAATAGTGTCGAGTAAGGTCATGAAAACTAAAGCAAGTTTTGTCCTGAAAGACACTAGTTATGCGTATTGAGATGATGTTACTAACACATGCATTTATGGTATGTTGCAAGTGCCCTTGCGAGGTACGAGCCAAGTATTTGGGTTCCAAGGTGGAGCCATTCCAAAGAGACAAATGAGTTTGAATTGGCTGAAGATTAAAGTCATGAGTTGATGATGGTCAATGGACCATGAGTTTTGGTGGTCAGAGAACTACCAAATTATGCCAGTTAATGAAACTGTCCTTGTGTTAGCTGAGAGAAAAGGTATTATAAGTATGGTGATCAATGAACCATAATTGTGTTCAGTTTTAAAGCAAGAAAGTGGGAGTCAGCCAATTAACAAGGCCATATGAGTTATATGGTCAAAAGATCGATCAAGTTCAACAAAATTGATGGTATTTGCATTTGAGTTGCATCTGATCAACGTATTGAACAAGTTTGAGCAAAGTAAAATTAAGTCAATTAGGATTATAAAACTTTTTGAGTAGATACCAACCAATGGGATGGCCTTGAGTCCAAATAGGTCAATAAACCTGAAGTATCTAATGGGTTGATAAATCTTAAGATTGAGTCGATCAGAAGATTTTGTTATTCGAATAGTAATAGATCTTGAAATATTGAACGAGCTATGGGTGCCCTATAAGCTATGTCAGAGTCAAGGTAGATGAATTATGGATCATTTTTTAGACATGATTACTTGTAGAGTTAAGCTAAGTTTGAGTAAAAGGGGGAGAGCATTATGATTTCAAGTGATATTAAGCCAAGGTAGTGAAGCATATGAAATATTTGAAAATCGTGTTTAAGTCTGAGATAGAGACTGAGATAGCAAGCGTTAAGGTACCATCATGAAAGGCGATTAGCTAGAAGGTTACACCTAGAGAGATGACCTTGAAAAAACTGAAAGGACCTAAGATGTAAAATGATCGAAGTGTTTAAATGCCACCATGCTATGGTTTATTACGGTTGGTGTTGTATGAGTGCTGTTGGCTTAAGCATCACGTCGAGTGAGAGCATGAAAGTGTTAGTTCCATAGGCGTACGATTGATGCGATGGGTCACGTCTAACGAGATACACCAATGTGTGACAAAGTAGGTGATCATTCATTCAACTAAAGGTCATGATAGATAAGGGTACCTTGAGGTTGCAACATGTTATGATTATGGGTGAAGCAATGTAATAACATTATAAAAAAAATGGATTGAGTATGTCGATCAAATGTGGAATCAGCACAGAGGTGTAATTGAGCTAGGATAACCCTTTTAAATCGATAATGAATGAGTATTATGGGTGATGCTTTATTTGATAAGATCATGACTTAATCTTTGAGTGCACAAATGAGAGATATATGAGAAAATGTCAACTGTATGTAATAAGAGAGTTGAGTGTGGTCTTGGCATTAATGAGGGCATTGACATAATAAATGAGAAAAAATATCATAGTTAGACCTTGGTGTGCTTCGATCCTGCCATGATTGACTATAAGCTGAGTAGCAAATAAGGCCTTATGATCAGGACAATGGTCCAGAGCAGTGGGCAAGCAATGTAAGCCCAAAAACATGTTGCTGATTGAGTGCGCAAATAATGTGTACTCTAATATTAAGATGGGTGGACAAGTGTGAGCCAATGTGTGAGAGCCTGGTAGACAATTGGGTGTTGTCAGTCAAAGTCGTATGTGTTTACCTTCGAATGGGTTAGTGGAGCAACAAGTAAAATTTGATAATTATGGTGGCCAAAAAGTAGGTCACTAGTTTTGAATTGGCTGAAGAGAGCGCTGAGATGGCTAGGGAGAAAAGTGTCCCCATTTTATAAATGTGTACAATTCCTTGTAGCATAGTTGGAAAATCTTATGCTTTTTATAAAAGGACAATTGGTGTCAACTCTCCACCACCCTTTTAGCTAGTAGATGATTAAAGCCTTACTAGTATGACGTAAGTTACTCCTAGGCATAAGTGATGTCTAGGTGGGCGGGCATCGTCGGATCATGAGTGAGGCATGGTGTCTCTTCAGATCATAGTAAACTCGATGATGGTTGGGACGACGGGTTTTGTATTTCTCCTTTGTGTTGAACTGTAAGGTTAGACGGTAATGTTGGCTATGCCCTTTGATTTTCCTTCCTTGAACCAGATAGATGAGAAATCAGAGATCATAAGATGGTATTTGCATAAGAAAGGCACCATCAAGCTTGAGGGATGAGCAAGCTAACAGATAAGCAAGCTGCTAGATCTTTATGGTCATTTGGTAAAGGTTTGCTGCGACTAGGGTAGCACGCCTGAATTCCTTGATGTGGGAGAGGCATCATGTCGGGTGTCTATCATACGTGCAAACAACTTAAAGTGAGGCTAAGGTTCGAGGCCCTAAGATACGAGTTTTGTGAGATGAAATGAGTCTAGTGTGTCTTCAGACTGGTTGCTAACCAATATTTGTATTGTGTTTTCAGATTCGAGATACGAGAGTTTATGCATTGTGTGTGTGGGCATGATGTTGGATTTTTATCATGCTAAATTGAGATATCATCACGAAAATTGAGGTTACATGCTTTTATATGAATTCGAAGACGGTCGATGCTCGAGATCTTGTGTTTGTAACATAGATGAGTGCTTGAAGTCACCTTAAAATTTGTAGGTTGATAATATGATGAGAGTTGAATTTTTTCTTATTAAGTTTGAGAATATTACGTGTAATCTTACAGAGTCGGAGAAAAAAAACTCACAATATTGATTTGAAGACTGATAATAAATTATTTATAAAAAAAAGATTGATAAAAGATTGACCTAAGAGTAATTTTAATACCTCACATACACGTAATTTAGTTTTAAGGAATGCGCGGCGCCGTGACGTGCAGGATACTTATTTGTGTGGGGATTTGGGAAAGAAAACGTTGTGGGGTTTTGCCTCAGAGAGTGCATCACCGTCACATGACGTGCTAATTGGTGTGGTACCATCGGAGATCGGTGATCAGCGCAGCGCCCACTTTCTCATACTCTTTCTTAGGCCTATAGGATAATAGGAGTCGAGGCTCGTGCAAACTGGGTCCTTAGCCCTCAACCACAGATGGTTTATGTTCCAAGTTTCAAACCAAGTTACTAAATTTTATGGGCAAATAAATATATTTATTTATTTATTTTATGGGCAAATCATAAAAAGTTGTGATTCAGGAGAGATTATTGTTTCCATGAATTTCACTTGACCATGACTTTGGAGGAACCTAATGTAACCCCTTTTGGGAGAGTTTAAGGCTTTAAGCTTTAACTTGGCCAGTGGAAACTAGAGAGGATTGGGATTTGGGGGTCTGAATTTAGTTGCTTTTTTTTTTTTTTGGGTGACTGTGAAACCAAATGCTGGAACTATGATTTTGATTTACATCTACTAATAATATTGTAAATCATTTTCAATTAGCAACAATCACTTGACCATTTTGTAATGGAATGGTACATGCAGGCATCTTTGGTGCTTCCATCCACCCTTTTAGAAATTTTAAAACCACTACTACTTTCATTTTGATCCAGTCATTTAATTTAATAATATCTATATTAAATTAACTTTTTTAATATTTAAAATTATTAAAATTAAATTTTGATTATTAAAATTAAAATTTTAATATTTATTTTAATAAAAAATCAACGCATAATTTAAGTAAAAATAAAAAACGATTTCTAATGTTTCCATCCAAGCAAAAAAGTGACATTTACATTTATTGCCATTGAAAATTATTATATGGTAAACTTTGTACGTAAGAGATTCCAAACCATTGTAGGTAGAATTCAATATCATTATATAAATATAAGAACATCAAATTCAATTATATTATCTATATGTTTAGACAATCATAATTAATAAGTAAAAGTAACAATAATGTTGGAGAAATTTTATTTTACTTTTTTTTATTAATAATTAACTATCATTACTTATAAGTGAAGAGAAAATTTTAGTTAAATATTATTAAAATCCTAAAAATTTTTTAAAAAAATTTACATAACCATCAAATTATATTGATCAAATAAAATATACAAAGCACAAATAAGTAATTAGTTAAAATTATTTAGCCTTCCATTTTTTTTATTAAAATTAAATTTATCATTCTATTTTATTAAATTATAAAATAAATAATTAATAATAACCCATTTATTAAAAAATTTAATATCAATTTTTAATTTTAATCTGATTTAACCAATAAAAGAAAAAACCCGATCAACATTATGAATGTAACATCAATGGGTCTATCAAACTAAATTACTGCTACTTGAGCATTGAATTTTTATTCAACAAAATGGCCTTTATTGGTTAGAAAAATTTTACTTTCGGAGATTTTGCGACCATTAGACAGCCAGCAGTACGACCCATCATCAAGAACCTTCCAGATATGTCCTGATCAAAGAGAATTTTAAGACAAAAAAAAAAGTTTCCACTTTTCTTTTTTTTCAAAAAAAAGAAGGTTTCAACATTATTTTTTTCAAAATGTCACATTAAAAAATCTTAATCATAATCTTTTTGGGTCATTGGATCCTCGTATTTCATGAAATTATTGCCGTACTAACTTGAGAAAATGACAACAAAAATCAAGAATGACGTCAGGAATGACGTTTACTCTCCAAGTGACCAAAATGTCCAAATGAAAATATATATTTGAAATTTTTTGAAATAATATTTATTTATTTTTATATTTGTAAATTATTTTCAAATAAAATTATAATTCTAATTTATTTCTTATCTTTCATTGCATGTTTGTCCATAGTAATTTTTTTTAATCCAGTGAAAGGAAATTTAATCTATATTTTTATATAGTATTAAGTGTATAAAATGATTAATAAAATATGAAGATGATTATTTTATATTATATGTGATTTATGTTTAACAGAATTACATGTAAAATGACTCAATTTTTTTGTATAATATAATTCAATTTTTTAAATAAATAAAATAATTTTATTTTTTAAGATTAAATTTATATACTTTATTTTGTTTTTTAAAAATTATATTAATAATTTAAATTATATAAAATTTTAAAAATATAATTTTAAAAAATAAAATTATTTTATTTTAATATTTATGCTTATAAATAAAAAATATAATAATATTTTAATATAAATTTATTTATAATATCATAATATCATATCTTATTATAATTTTATATATCAAAAATATTTAAAAAAAAATAAAGGGCGTAATATATATATATATATATTTTTTTTTTTTTTTGTGGAGTGTAAAAGTTGAAATACGAAGTCAAAAATCAAAGCCACCGGCATCAAAACTTGGCAACTTTATTGGGTCTGCTAGTTGCAGTCCTGTTGAAATCAGCAAGGCAAAAACAAACGGAGGAGGGAAAGAGGAAAAGCCAAGAAGATGAAGGCGTTGGGATGGTGGTTAATGCTGGTGGGTTCACTTCGATTAGCCTCCGTTTGGTTCGGCTTCTTCGATATTTGGGCTCTTCGTCTCGCCGTTTTCTCCAACACCACCAGTAAGTTCCTTCTCTGAAGCTTAATTCTTTGTCCTTTTTTTAAATTGTTGTCGAAGTTTTGGTTTTCTGTGAATTAAAAGATACGGGTTTCGAAAAGATCACTCGCTCTTACAGAACAAATCTTTAATTTTCAACAAAGGAAGCAAGTTGGGTTTTTCTGGGTCATGTAACCAAGCTGGCTGTTTTTGTGTGCGTGCCAATTGTTGGGTTTATGTCTCTTAAGTTGGAGATATAAGCTTCAATACCCCAGATTTAAAAATAGGGAAAATCTGTAACTTGGGATCCAAAGTATAGAGATTTTGAAGATTCCTATAGTAAAAACGCTACCATTGTTGCTTTGGGGGCAATGCTTTTGAAAAACTAGTTGCAATGAACTGGATTTGTTTTTCTTCTAAAAGAAAACAGGAAGTACTTTGAATTGGGTTAATTGAATGATGCATTGAGTGATGGAGTATTTTCTTCACATGTTGAGATTTATAAAGATTGTCTAATATTCAGTTTGTCTTATTTTGCTTAAACTTTACTACTAAGTAGCATGCTATTTAGCTTAAACTAATGGAATATTTTTGTTTTTTGGATCTAATAATTAAGATTTTGCTAGTTATCATTGAAATGCTTCAACAAATTTATCCCTAATAAACACATAAGGTTGGTGAGATATCAGACTTGATGGTTTAGGTCCATATTCCCGTTTTGTTATTTGTACTAAATATTAGATTCTTGCTTAGCAGTCCAATGCTGAGGATGCATCTTACTTGAACTTAGATCTCGATCCGTTGCTTTTGTGATTTTCTTTTGGTTGATGAGAAGGAATGAGGGTTGAGGAGAGTGCAAGATTCATATCTCTACCTAAGTCAAAGTAGCAAAACCAAGAAAGATACACGCTGGTGGATTTCAGATGTAATGGTTCAGTAAAAAGAGTAGACAAACCTAGAATTTTCATTTCTGGTGGATACTATGAACGATTACAAGGTGGATGAGTTTGGTAAGCAGGCCGTTGATTTTGGGCCTTTGTCCAAGAAATATATAGGATATCAGAATTGGAGCAAACAAACACAGAACAGATTTGGTGCATCTGAAATTTTAGACGTGTTCATTGCATCTTCAAGTTTAGTTCTTTAAGTGCTTGTATAAACATTGCATAATTGGTGGTTTCACACACAAAAACTTAATAATGAGGACACGATGATTTTGAATCAAGTTGGAACATATGGAAGAAACTATTAAATCATGGATTGTTGAAGGAATGAGTTTGGCTTAGAAGGTGATATGATTTGAGCCCGAGCTCAAGAAGATACAAAAATTTGGATTTTGAGTATGATATCAGAAAAATTAATACTCTTAGTATGATATGAAAATGTCCTTGGTCCTTTCATGGTCTTTGGGTGCATTCATACGGTTCTGCTTTTGAACTGTATTAGTATCTTTACTGAAAGGGAAAAAGAGGAAGAGTTACCTAAAATTTAAGTTAATACAAAGCATCTATCCTTATGCAATGCATGCATGTCAGATATGGCTTGAGCATGGTATTTTGTGCATGTAATCCCATGGAGATACTGAAAATGTCCTTGGTCCTTTCATGGTCTTTGGGTGCATTCATACGGTTCTGCTTTTGAACTGTATTAGTATCTTTACCGAAAGGGAAAAAGAGGAAGAGTTACCTAAAATTTAAGTTAATACAAAGCATCTATCCTTATGCAATGCATGCATGTCAGATATGGCTTGAGCATGGTATTTTGTGCATGTAATCCCATGGAGATACTATTTTTGAGCAAAAAAGCAACTTTATTACCATTGCGGTTGAGTTATCCGACTGTACTCCTATGTACAAGTTAAAACAGTTTTATTTATTTATTTTTTTAATCTTTTTGGCCAAAAGAACAGTTTTTACTGATAAATATTAGAAAATGGAAGAAGACTCTGCCATTAGTATAATTCTGAAAAGATTTCCACCTCAGATTGCAATTTGTTTTCTTCTGAGTAATAATATGTCATTCTAGGTCTTGATAATTTCCCTCCTATTTGTTTCAAATGTTATGCAGTGACCGAAGTTCATGGGAGGACATTCGGAGTTTGGACGCTTTTGACTTGTACTCTCTGCTTTCTATGTGCATTAAATTTGGAAAATAAGCCACTATACTTGGTGACGTTTTTGTCCTTCATCTATGCCTTTGGTCACTTTTTGACTGAATACCTCTTCTATCACACAATGGCCCTTTCAAATCTGACAACTGTAGGCATATTTGCAGGTATGGTGTTCATGAGCAAACATGCCATCTTATTGAGTTTGTTGTACTTGGTACTGCTTTTGCATGAAGTTTCATTGAAGTTGATGAAATCTTTTCCTCGACTTCTTAGTGTTTTTATTGCATTAAAATTATAGACTGTATAACTGACCAAGAAATATAATCAGTTTAATATTTGATAAATGGCTAATATTCTCCACAATTGCTGGGTTTGTAGCTTTTATGTTGCAATTGCATCCAGCATAGAACTATATTGAATCAAGGCAGTCCTAAGCTTTTAAGCTTTTCGGACTGCAAAAAGCCAAATTTCTGCTTGCCATAGCCTGAGATCTCATATGCATCTTTCTTGACCCTTCTTTTGTATGTCCGTATCTCATCTGTAACAAATCATGACATCAACATTTTTAGATGAAACTGCAACTTGCTTTAAGATATTTATTTTTCATTGTAAAGTCTTTGGTTTACCAATCACCATGATATGGTTAAAATGGTTTGGCTTATCATTTTTGGGACTCTGATTACCATGCAACATGTGAAACTTGCCATTTTTGCCTAGAATAAAATTTTTTTTTTTCTTTTTTGCTTCTCAAAATCAGGGACATCAATTATATGGATGCTGTTGCAGTGGAATGCACATCAACAAAGACATGTCAAGCATTCCTGAAAATGTAACTCATTGACTTTCGGATTCTTTATTCTTAATGCTAACACAATGGGATTTCTCGGTATTCATTTTATTTCTACAGTCAGTACTAACTGATAATGGCTGTTTACAATTAGATTGTGGAGTTCTGTCCAATAGACTGACAAAGAATTCAGAACATTCTGATGCGCAAATTCTGTTTGAGTACTTTGATTATAGATTGAAACCTAATAAAAGAGACACGAGTCTAAACTTCCATATCTCTCTGAATTGATGGTATTTGGAATCTGCGGTTTTCTTGGAACCAAGTTATAGATCCTAGGAGCTTGCGCTTGGTGGATGTTAGTCAAAATGCTGGCAACAGAAATACCTTGTGTTAAGCTGGCGAACCTTTCCAATCGTTGCATATTTTTTTCTTAGTCAGATGATACTATGTAGTGTACTAATTGATGCCAGTGATCCATCTAAGAAGCCTAACTTCGGTTGTGTTGATAAGCCAAGTGAGAATCTTTAATGAAGACATTCGATTTTTCCCCTTCGTTGTGCTCATGACCTAAGTGATCGAAAATCTTTAATAAAGACATTAGATTTTGTTTTATACAGTGGTTGAGTACACTAACAGAACAAGAAGTCCCAAAGCTACAGACTTATGTTCTGAAGAAGGAAATAAAGAAAGAAGCAGCATCTCCTTAGGCAAAATAAGCCCACCAATAAACATGTCAATAAAAAGCTACTGTCAAACTATTCTGCTCCAACTTCATTGTTATTTGCAAAATAAGATTGTTGCCCCACTCTAAAAAAGGCGCGACTCAGTGAGACCTTGTCTCCACTAGGGCTGTAAACGAGCCGAGTCAAGTAGTGAGAAGCTCGAGCTCGACTCATAACTCGAGGTTCGATACTCGATTCAAGTTCGATCGAGTTTTATTTTTCAAGCTCGAGTTCGATTCGTGATTGAATTCGAACTACTCGAACTCGCTCGTTTAAGCTCGATTAATATATAAAAATAAGCTCGATTCGTATACTCGACAAGAGTTCGATTATTCATGCTCGAACTTGAATTCGAACTCGAATTCGAAATATTTTATTAATTAAAAAAATAAAAATATATTTAAATATAAAAGCTCGATTAGGCTCGCGAGTTACTCGAGTTAGATATAAGAATACTCGAATTCAGCTCGATCGATAAGTCGAGCTACTCGAGCTCGACTCGACAATAATTGAATCCAATTCGAATATTTTTCGAATCGAATCTGAATAATTTACGAGTACTAATGTATCATTTACACCCATAATCTTCACCACATTACTTCTAGCTACCTGACTTTTGCGAACTACTATGCCATTGTAAAAGTACCATAATTTTCTAGAGGAAATTAATGTTAAAAGTTTCATGCCCTGCATTTAAAGAATCTATTCGATTGTATCCCAACTTAGAGAACCAGAGACCAGCAAGTCACAGTAATAGGGTAGTTATTGTCTACAAAACGGAACTGAACTTTATTTTAATGTCCTTTTTGTTGAGAAATTTGCTACATTTGGAACTCACAGGACCGCATCACAGAACTTATATATACATAGACATAATTTGAGCACAAAAATTTAAGTTATTGAGTTCTTGAATCTTTAATTTTATTTTTTAATGACGTAAATTTTTTTACTTATATATGAATCATTCAAACACTTTTTCAGAAGCAAATAGTCTAATTTTGTCGTAAGCTAAGGCTAGGCTGTGATTACCATTCATAAACTGATCGCATGGGTTCGAATCCCATTCTTTGAAAGGGTCAAATGTTCCATTGAATTGTTATGAAGTTATGCAGATATAAAGTTTTTACAGAAGCCAGTTCATTAATGGACTAGATTGAGCTGCATCTGGAATGAAGGGCATGGAAAGAGGGACAACATCTTTGAACTACAGAATCCAGTTTTGGAAGAGTCAACTTTTTTTTCTCTAAAAAAGTAGTAGCAGCATTTTAGTTGCAATTTGTGTGCATTCCCCCTTTTTTTTTTGGTCTATGGGCATAACGAAGACGACGACAACAACAACAACAAAAGCCATAGTTAACCCTTTTTATCTCTGACAAGTCCTCCTTGGGTGTTCAACATTGCACAAACCCAATCGACATCAACATTTATCTTATGACTTAAAAACCAGACAAATCCATTCAAATTTGAGAATTTTCTCAAGAAATTAACAAAAGAACAACATAAGAATAAAAAAGACGTATACAGAAGCTAGTTAATATTGCATAGTAAAAAAAAAATCTTGGATTCACTTATATCCAAGGGAGTGTGTGCTTTCACTAGCAGCAGCAGCAGCAGTAATTCTGACGGAAATCTTTCTCCAAGGAAATGGTAAGATCAGAATGGTGTGATGGACACAATGCAATAGCCATAAAAAGGAGAAGTGAAGGTAGTTGAAAGGCCATGAAATGAAACAAAACAACGTGGGGGTTTATCTTCGTAGAAAGGGATAGCAAGAGAGCTAGGAAGTGAAAGTGAGAAAAACACTATAAAGTAGAAATGCCAGCGTACAATACACTTGGCGACAAACAACTTGATGGCAATTGTTTGATTCATTTGCCTCATATGTGGGGCTCATGACAAGTATATGTATTTCATTTGTAATTTATGGTTTGTCAGCGACTTCGTTTCAAATTATCTGCCATGAATGCTTCAAATTGTGAAATGTTGTTTTCTTGGTGTCACATTCCAAATTCATATCCAGGGCATGTCGTCCATAGGAAACATCACTATAGGTATAGCATTCTTGAAGAAAACAATATTCCCAGTAATTTATTACCATATGCGAGTTGGCGTTTGTTCTCTTTGAAGTTCAAATTTGTTTTTTTGATATCTGACCCTAATCAAATGTACCAAATGAAAAGGTGGATTTCACTCTATCATAGTAAACATTTTCTTTGCATTGCTTGCCTGTCTTAAATGTCCATTGAAGATATAATATTAGAGCTCATGCTTCCCGGGAAAAGGACATGCAAAACAGAGTCGAGCCATTTTCAACTGAAACCCTGAATCTCCTTTTGCTGATCACAGATGGCTACTGCCACGTACCATGCCCACGAGACATAGAATCAGAAAAGTATAAACAGAAAATCTTTTAACAAAGTTTGACCTGTGGCTCTCAAGTTTTACCAAGCATAAAATTAACAAATTCAATCCACCTGTTAAATTCCTACCTCTTATTAGCAAGAAGCTGTTTCCTTCTTTTTAAAACGAGGGAAAAAAAACAAAGCCTTATGACGTATGAGTTACCACAGCATTTTAAGCTGTTTCATATATCATAATCAGGAGTTTGTGGATATGACATTTGGTGGAAAATTGATTACGGCTTGGTTGATTGTGTCAGCCCATCAATCGGTGTTAAAGCTCGTCAATTGAACATCTGTTTTGTTTTTTTCAATATATGATGACAAAATTTTCTAATCACAACATCAAGTTGCAGTTTAGGTACCGTCACCAGTCACATCTAATAGGCAATAAAGCAGAAGCAGAGGGCAAAGAGTTAAAAAGAGAAAGGAGTTAACCCCACAAACCAAAATAAAACATATCCTTCCACTAGACCTGTCAATTGCACCCGCTGAATTTAGATCGGGTTAAGTTAATTTGGATTATTTTGCATAAAAAAATTAGATTAATTTAGAGTTTAATCATTTTAATTTTAAGTTATTTTATGTTTGAATTATTTCAAATTTTAGTCATTTTTAGTCTAAATCTAATCAATTTTAAATTATTTTAATTCAGGTTTGACATTCAAATTATTTAAATACAAATCATATGAGTTTAAATCATTTTCATTCAATTTATTAAATTTAAAATTTTATTAATTAAGTTCAAATCAAATTTTATTAAAAAAAATAAACAAATATTTTTAAAAATATCAATATTATAGTTTGTATGTTTTAAATTAAAGTTAATTTTTATATAAATAAAAAATATATGATTTTAGTATATTTGATAAATTTAAATATGACACAATGACATAACACCAAAATAATATAAGAAAAATTGAATCAATTTTAGAACAATATATTCCTTATTTAGTCACATTGACATAAATTTTGACAAGTATAAGACACAAAATATATTTAATTAAAGCATGCCATATGAATATGCATATAAAATATGCAAAATATATTTATCACGTTTGACATGTTAATAGTTTTTTGTATTTTTTGTAATATTTAATATAATTATATAAAATTATTTTAAATATTTAATTATGATACATGTAATTATTTTTATATTAATAATATAACTTCAATATAAATAACTATTTTAGGATAATTATAACTCATTATTTAATAACTTATTATTTTGAATTTTAGTATAATTATAATCATTATATAATATATTCTTAAATTATATATTAAAAATTAATAATATAATTATAAAATAAAACATAATGTATACATACAAATTAATGATTTTATTTTATTTTATTTTAAATATAGTTGATACTCGTATATAATTATAAGAGATTATATAATTTATTTTAAATGATACATTAATAATTTGATATGTATACCCATTATATTTAAAAATATATAATTTATTTTAAAACATAATATAAATTATAAAACTTTTAATAATTAATATAAGACATATCTAATATTTGATATACTAATTTGATATTAAAACATATATTAAATTGATATTTTCAATAAATTCAATAAATTAATCATTTGGATTATATTTATCATTTTTATATTTTTAAATAAAATATAATTTAATCTTAAGTTATTTCAAATTAATTTTTTATATTATTTTAATTTCAAATTATATTTAAATTTAAATGAATTTGAATTGTTTCCGATTTTAGATTGAATGATTAGAATTATTAAATTTTTATAATCAAATCTGGTGAGATCATTTGGTGAATTGAACGAATTTTTTAATTCCAACCAAAATTGATAGGTTTACATCCCATCCATCATCATGATTTGATTTGCAAAAGAAGGGTAGAAGGGGGGGGGGGGCGCAGGAGCAGAGAGGCAGATAGCAGCAGCGAAGCGCTGGTAGACCTAACGAATGCTGATAATGATGAGTCCTTCACTAACTCTCTCTGCTATTTTTTATTTTTCACGTCAATATTCAATGCTACATTTAATGTTTTCCCAACTCTTTGACATGAAAGCCAACAGACAATCCACCAGCTCGTGTAATTTTTCATATAGATTTTAAAAAAAATTTTCGACAATAACATTCAACAATGGCAGTTCAATTGTTTAAGCGAGATCAGCTTCAGAGAGAAAACATGGTCCATATCTTGGATTAGAGCTCTTTTTTTTTTTTTTTTTTCATCTTGCAGGCATTTTTTCATCAGCTAAAAATTAATAGCCTCATGGATTGCAAGATAGATTTAAGGAGAGTGATTAGGGATGTAAATAATATTTTAATATTTAAAATTATTTTATTTAAATAAAATTTTAATTTAATTTATTTAATTATTATCGAATTTAATTTAAATTTAAATATTTTATTTATTAAATAAATTAAATTTTAATATTTTATTTAAATAATTTATGAATATATTAAAATTTTAAATTTTAATATATTTTATTAAAAATTATTATTTTATTTTTATCTATATATTTAGTTCAAACAAGAATTTGAATTTGAATTTGCATGATATAATTAAAATTTAAAATTCAAATATAAAAAGTAAAATTTATTTTTTATTAAATGAATTTAAATAATTAATTTTAATTTTATTTTAATTTAAAAAATTAAATTTTAATTAAATTCAAAATCAAATTTTAAAAATTTAATTTGAATAAATTTCAAAATATTTTTATATATCAACTCGATTAAATTACATCTTAAAAAAAATCACCACAGGTTGTGGTTAAGGCAAAATAATATATCCAACCCTTTGAAACTAGCCAAAAAGTTTGTGGAACATATTCTCTCATTCATTTTATTTTATTATTATTTTGTTACAACGATTTTCATGCTAAGGGAAAAATAAAACGAAACAAAATAAGATGAATGAGGTACGTTATGTATTTTATCCGCTTCGAGGTGGGCTTGTCTCACATGCAACTACAGGGTCTCAGCTTGTCCTCTGGAACTCTGGAACCTGTGAGGTGCACAAAATCTTGTTAGATACGGCAGAACCGTCTGACAGACTTGATACAACACCCATCTTTATCTCGTTTAAATGACCCATGTCATCACTTGGTATCAAAATCAACAAATCTCACCCCCCAAAAACTTTTTCAAAAACAATAAATAAACTTTGAGGGACGATGAAGATTTAGTAACACTTTCCAGTTAAGGTATCTGTTTCTGTTAAACTGTAAGAAAACAAATAGTGGACAAAGGTATACATTTGTACAACCTGTATCTTTACCATGCAAGAGAGGAGAGTGAAAAAGACTACGAGCAATAGAATTGAAAGTCATTTTATCCACGGTTGAAAAGGAGGTGCTTTTTTTTTTTACACTAATTAAACATTGTTTTATTTTTACTTCAATCAAGGATTGAAAATACGGTTTCCACACTTGCACTTCCAACACATGGGCTTGTAATTGGAGACGTCATCGCCTCTAGAGTAAGAAATTGAGAGTATTGCAGCTGAGTATTGGCGGGCAGGTACTTGAGTTGTAACAGGAACTTGAATTGCCTCGCATCGCGGGCAGGAACTGCACCTTCTCTCACACCTTGGTGGCCTTGATCCAATCAGACTTCTCATCACCAGCGTCTTCTCCTCTTCAATTCCTTTCTGTTCATAGAACATTATTGAATTGTGTCAGTGCTGATTGGATGTTAAGAAAGAAGCAAAGATTATACATGAAATGAAATTATGATCCTTATACCTGAGCAACCTCAAGTAACCTGGAAAGAGACCTCCCTGGAATACATGAAAGTGAGAAAAGCTGAAGTCAATGATTGGATTTTCTAGATTTGGAGCTTTTTTTTTTTTTTTTAATTTAGATAAGGAAAGAAACTTACCTTCTGCAGCCATGAATCTAACTTGGGTCAAGCTTGAAACAAGGAGAAACATCAAGGAAACAATAAGGTGTCTATTCCTGTGGCAACAAACATAATTTGGGGAGCTGCTCATTTTCTCAAAGAGAGAAGGGTAGGAGTTCAAAACCTTAAAAGATGAGAGACAAGGGTTGGGGTATTAGAGAAGTAAATTAATAGGACCAACGCAGGGAAACTTAATAATTAATATGGTTGGCAATATAGAAGCCAGAAGGTAACTGAACCTGAAATTTTGAAAAGCCACCCCTAAGAGAGTTTTTCAGTACTTGATTGCCAGCTCCACAATGCAAAAAAGATAAGTCGGTTTTTACCTTGTATATCTCTGAAGTCTGAATGAATGATGGAACGTACGTGGAAGGCAAAAAGAGCACTGCAATTAGGCTAAAAGCAAATGGGGAGGACCTTAAACCGAAAAGGGAAGGACCTCAGCTTCTTTTCATAAGCCACCAAAATACCAAGGTACCTTACAATATGAAAAAGAAAAAGGGAAAAAAAATGAAATAGAAATGAAAACAGCTGTGGCAGCAGAAGCGGTAGAAAAGCAAAATGATGGACAGCAGAGGCACATCCAAAGGAAAGAGTGAAAATGAAAACAAAAACAGCAACAAAAGAGATCACACAAATACCAAATGATAGAGAGTTTTCTACAAAAGGGGTTTATGTAACGTCACAGTCGGGATTTAGCTAGGTTACTGGAATTTCCTATTCCATTCCATTCCTTCCCCATTTCTCCTTTCATTTTGTCCCCCCTGTTTTACGTTCCTTTTGAGGTGGGTGCCTGGTTTTAAAGGTTTTGGCTCGTGGGCAGAGTCATGACTCGTGAGTCGTGACCAAGTTCCACTCCAACACGCCAAATCTCTATCACTTAGGAATTGGGAATAGTTTTTTCTTTTTTCATTACTATTTCCCGAGGAGGCATAGTATTCGGGGTTGGTATACAAGGCAACAGACTATGGAGTTTGAATTGATAATTAAGTCTTTTTATGGTAGGAACAGCAATTATGGTAGGAAACAGGCAAATTTCTGGTTGGTTGGAGAGTTAAATATTTTACCTGCAAGCTCCCGCACGCTCTTTGGGGAATGAGAGTCCTGTCCTTAAGAGAACACTGTAATATACTCTGCCAATTCTAACCGCTTATGGCTACCAATTACAGCAGAGTTCTCCAGTGCTCCCACAAGTTTTAAGATACCGGTTCATCAAAAAATATTTACCCTTTTACGTCAAGTAATTTCAATGTTATCAAAAAACAAACTCAATTCCCGTATCCAGAAATTGTAAGTATTTTTTTGGAATCCTCGTTTATGAGATAACAAAATCATAATAGTAAGTTAAGAATCTGCTTGCCATTCGTAAATTAATCACAATGGACCAAACTCTTAAGAATATTACACCAAAAAAGTTTGGCGGATTGCAAGACAACAGAAATTTTCTAATTGCGTTGAAATTTCATTTCTAATTTACATCTGAATTCTGATACTGATACCCTTATCCATTATTGATTACAGTTACACACCACCATTAAGGCATTACAGGACCAGTATAATGCCAGGGGATTGGGCCAAAGTCCAGCTGTAACATAAAAGCCTACACAAGGAACAGAGAGTGAGCTGGGCTGGGACCGACAAGATGTTAAGATAATTTAAATTCTCTATTAACTACATATCTGGATCAGATCATACTTAACACTCAGACGCCCACATACGTGGAGTTGCATCCTGCGAAGCTAGTACCTTATAATCGTTACAATCTTTGGACGATGCTGTCATCTTATTTCTGACTGAAAATAAAGCAGGTTGAACCGCTAGCAAGTAATCCGTCTTTACTCGTTACAACACATGTAGGACACCTAAGATTATTAAATAATATATATTTACACACAAATATGATATTCCACCTTCTGCTCAGCGTTAATGGCCACCACCCATTTAAACCCTGCAGAGTAAATTTCCACGTTCCAACCTCACGCGTAGAACCTGTCCACGAGATCAGGCTACTCATCCGATCCGATTTGGGTTGGAGCTTTAACTGAGAATTTTTCACCCTACAAAGAAATATATTAAAATATTAATATTTTATTTTAATATATTGAAAATTTCGGACCTTTTAAATCCTCACCCAACGGGTTGGGTCAAATCTTGGACACGACTTTTAGAAGGCTGACCGGATCTTACCGAACCCGACAATAAACACTTCTACTTACGTTAACAGTCCTTCCAGACTGCCATTGGACCAAAAAGCCATTTGGCAATTTACATATGTATAGCAACAAATCGCCACCTCTTATAAGAGAAAATTGTCAATCACGTGTTGGACTACATCAGCTCCATCAGAATTAACCCAGTAGCTTTTCACCTGAAATAATAGGGTGATAGAATAGTATCCACTTAGTTACGCAGCATCTATCACAGGTAACCCCTGAATGCAAAATATTTGCCATGGTAGAAAGAAAGAGTGAAAGGGTTGGAAAGCATTAAGCTCATCTAATATTCTAAATTCTACCCCCAAAGCAATGAGTTTGTAAAGAATAACTTGCCTGAATGGTACTATGTGCAAGAAGCCTTTGTCTGCTTCCTTTGAAGTAAACATCAACCCGTTCCCAGCTGACTTTTGTTAAACCTTTGATTATTTCCTCTGTAATATTTCATAAAAATGAATGAAAATTGAGCGCACTGGGCAATAACTTGTTATTCAACTATTATCCTCTACTTGTAACTTTAAATATGTAATAGATGAGTGATTTTGCAGCTCCTAACAACAAAAAGTGCCAAGGTGAGGAAATTAAAAGTAACAACTTGCAAGTAGTTTTAATTGTAAAAGGTAGATCAGAAATGCTTTGACAATTTCATTCCCCTTTTCATTTACAAAATGTTTGTATGCCCATTGACTAACAAACAACCAAATCAAGGAAAAAGAAATACTACTCCTACCAGCTTGCCTTTTCACTTGGCTTGCAAGACAACACAAACACGTATGTTTGACAATTTAACAATTATACCATAGGTGATCCACTACAAAGGAGGAAAGTAAGCAGTAATCATTATCAATGACCCTCAAAAGAATCACTTTCACCCCTTAATCATCTTCAACTCCTCTCCACAACTTACATTTGAACTACCTGAAACATAAGGCTATAACCAAGATAGACCTATCATGACTTTCAGCCTGTGACCACAAGAGAACAGACTAGAGATTATAAACTACTGAATTGTATGATTGATATCATGATAAACTTTTCTGATCCAAATTCAAAACAAATAAAGAGCCTGATACATTAAAGGAAAAAAATTTTACCACTACAAGATAAAAGTTATTTGAACCCAATTGTTTAATTGACTAAAAGTTAATGCCATCCTTCCTCATTACAAACTATTTCATATACATTACTGAGTGAGATTGGGAAAAAGAGTATTGCTCTTATGCTATCGTTCAATGTCTTTATATCTACTAGAGCTCTCCATAATTATTAACAAATATTACAAACCAGTTCCAGTGATGTGAAATGATGCCAACAACCAAAAACAACAAAGGAAGTGAAGTTTAAGATCTCCAAAAGATTTGATAGCAAGTGATCTGATTTACTAATTTTAAAAGATAAATTAGGCAAACCTTCCATGTTTATCTTCTCATTTCCATTGATTTTGGCCTCGGAAGGGTCTTCATCAAGGGCAAGCTGTTTTTGCTGTTTTCCACATTTATAATGTGTGGGTATTTGTCACCTCTTGGAAGATTTTTAATCTGATAGAGAGAGAATTCATGTTGGCATTAGCTTCATAGCTGGTGATACAATTAAAATCCTCCAAGAACATGCTTCGGGGTTACTTTGGAAGTTCATTTCGACGCCGTAAGGAAGAGGTACTCCATCCAACAATATCTAAGAAAAGTGTCAAGTTCTTAAACAGTCAACATTTTGAATGTGGAATAAGTTTTATCCTAAAGCCTAAACAGTTAGATCCACTATTAAATCTTCCTTCAAGAGTTAGTGTCGCAGAGAAAGCATAACTACAGAATCAACTGATATAATAGAAAAAGGATACGGTCAAACTTGTATTTGAATACACAACACGATGCCTGAAGGACTGAAGAGCGGATCTGCAGTTTAAAGAAAGATACAACTATAAAGTCTGTAATTCACCATCTTTCTCTCACATGCTTTAAATTAATCTAGGAAGCTTATGAAAACTCACATAAATTTAAGATCTTCACAATCATTGACCATCTGGAGAAGAAGTGGTGGTTTTCCATTCTTTTCTATCAGTCAAAAACAAATGTTTTCCAGTTCTACCAAGAAACCATGATATGCGGGCAGCAATTTTTTCCAGTGCATGGGAGCCACAGAACAATGGGACCTGAATAATGCAAGCCACCAAAGGAAAATATTACCAACCTGTAATGTAAAAGCAAATGCAAGCATATACTCAACGTTTTATCACTCAATTGCACTTGCATGTATACCAGCACAAAAGATGAATTAGCAGTTTCTCATCAGACTTATATGATGACTTCATATACCTTAAAAAACATGAATTTCATCATCACAAAAGAAAACTATCTGATGAGTTTCGAAGCTATCACTAATCACATATAAAGAAGCTGGTGAAATGAACTACCTGTTTATGCCACCGGGAACCGAGGTGGGGACTTGCAAATGTTATGAAATTCATGGGCTCTAGTCCAGCAATTTTCCCTTTTAATTTCCCATCAGGGCATGAATCTCCCAAATGATCAGTTCCACACATCTCCATTTGTTTGAGAAAATTTTTCGAGTGAGATCTTGTTCATAAAGCCGTGCAATGGCATACCTTGCTACAAGGCCACCTAATGAATGACCAACAAAAGAAATCTTCTGAACACTTTGGGTGACAGCTAATGACATATTTAACCTGAAAAAAGATACAACAGCATTCTCCTATTGGCATGGCCACCTCAATCTGAATTAATAGTAATGATAAAATAAGTACAGACACTATCACACAAAGAACAATACCTATCTCCAAACTGTACGCAGTAGTTTGCAAAATGGGAAAATAATCTCAGTTGCAAACTTGCAATCTTGGATAATGAAAGACAGTTTTTGAACATTGATAAAAAATTCATAGCATACATACCGTCCTCTGCTAATCTATCACCCATTACATCGACACCATCAAATGTCGACATTGAAGAATTGCGCTTGCTGCCTGCATTGGCACATGAAGTCATTACCATTCAAGTAATCATTTCCTCATGAAACCCCATCAACTGATCAACAATATCATTATGACAGGTATTCATTTACTGAATGGGTTTTGCGCTCCTTTCCCTAAGTGGGACGGTTATCATCCAGCAAAATCTTAACTAGTGAGACTTATTTACTTATAAAACTTTCCAAATTTTGCAAATGCAAATTTTGAATCTTCTGGATTAGTGAGACTTATCTACTTATAAACTTCTGATACATCTAAAGTCCAAGACTTACGAAGTTGTATTGAAGAAGAAGGATCATGAAACAGAGCAGAAAATTAATTTTTTGAAAAAGAAAAGTGAGATAATCAAAATAATTAATTTGAAATTAATCTGTATTTAGCTTAATCACAGACAATCATAAAAAAAAAGGGAGTATCTGAGAACTCAAAGTGAACAATAACATCCTGCGGATACTTCTTCAAAAACTGCTTTGCAGCAAATCTCCAATCCTGAGCACTACACGATATTAATCCAAAAATCAATCAAGCAACTTCAAACATATAAATAAT